TTAAAAAATTAATATTTTTAAATTTGAATTCAATGCGAGAAAATTGTCAAAGATAAATTTTAATAACTGAACTGATAAATGTTATTAAATGTGTTGAAATAGAAGGTGTAGCAATCATTTTCCAAAAAAAAATCCTCACTTGTATAGCTCTTTCTTAACCCTTTTTCAGCACAAATTGTCATAATAGAGAATGTTACAAATATAATTTTAGTGTAAACCATCGTAACAAAACATGTCATTAAAAGCAATTTTCTCTTTGTAGTGATTAAATATACTTTTAAAATTGTTCAAAAAAATATTAATTTTGAGTATATAAAAACTAATTTAGAAATATCTTAATCATTAAAAAAAATAAAAAACTAGTATTCACAGTTGGCAAGAAGTTTCATCTTGGGAAATTTTGATAAGAATAAAGTCAAAACATATGTAGATAGTTGTGAACCTAATGTATATTCCTACCAAGACTTAGGGAGGTTTGGTCTTTGGTATTCCTCACTGTTGTATGATATTGGAGGATGTTTGGTAGAATATAAAAAGTATTTTATTTAAAAAGTATTTTTTTTATAAATTTAAAATTTTATTATAAAAAAATTAAAAATTATCTTTATAAGTGAATTTTAAAATTTTGAAAGAATTTAGACGTAAAATTTTTTCAAAAATTTAGTTAAAACCGACTTAAAAAAAAGTTAATTTTATTGTTTTTCTTTAATAAAATTTTAAATTTATAAAAAATAAATAATATTTTTAAAACAATCACTTTTTAAATCTGATCAAACACCATTTGGATGGATGGCTAGAAGCGACTTAATATTTCAGCATATGACTTTTGACCCATTTGAAGTTTCTGAGAAGATTCATGTTAGATCTTTTTTGTGGTTGAAAGGGAAAGCTAACAACTGTGCCTTTTCCTTTTATGACTGGTGTTTAAATTCAAGTTTATGTGCAGAAAATGTAAGATGATATTTAATCGGGGACGAAGGACCCTTGTATTCCCTATCAGAAGTACATTTCATTTGCTGATAACCAAAAAAAAAATCTTTGATATCATAAAAAAAGATTTAAAATAAAACGCTACATAGTGTTTTGTGTGCCTTATTTGAGAGTTCTTCCATTCCAGAGCGTAGTTTGGACTTTTGTTATGGCCACGTAAATAGTTTAGTAAGTATAATTAGCTTGGATTCTTCCCTTACTAATCCTGGTATAGCTGGGGCAGGAGGCTTGCTACATGACCATCTTGGCAGATGGATGGTTGGCTTCTCACGAAGCATTGGATGGACCACAAGTATTGCTGCAGAATTATGGGCTATTAGAGATGGCTTGGAAATTGCTGCTGGAAAAAGAATCTCTAAAATTATTGTGGAAACTGACTCAAAAGTTGCTATTTTACTTATTGAGTCTACTGATACTACTTTGCACTCACTTGGAACTCTTATT